ATGCCACACGTTCTCCTAAATCACTCGTACGCACAACTTAAGAACAAATCTGTGCGTACGAATGGTTCTTGCATGAGACCCATTAATCCTCAAATGCTCTGGTGCTGGAGGTCTCTGTTAGACTGGACCAACAGGACCACAAGGTCTGTAAAAAGTAGCAACAGGATTCTTCTTCTTACTCTGTCATTCAGTATATGAAAAATACCTGCTCTTGGTAGGTTTACACAAATTCCCATATTCTTTATTTGTAGTGGTGTCCAGCATTTTTACAAGTACTCATGCTCATTCCAAATGCCTGGTACCACTTTCATTTGAATGAGTTTGATTTGATCCAGTCAGAGGGGCTGTAGGYCTGTAATGAAGGATAGATACCTTGTTCTGAATAAAAGAAATGTGTCTTTAAAATTATTAAGTTCTGATTCAGTAGGTATTGGCAAGTACCCAAACTGAAGTACTCAGACTCGTACTCGGTTTGAGAAAAACTGGTATCAGGACACCYCTACTTGTAYGTCTTGGTACAACAGAAWACAMTACAACAGAACTCCTGAGGATGTTCGGGGACTTGAAATCCTTTTGTATCCATGCCCTGACTTGTCCTTTTCAATAATCTTTTCTCTGAGCTCAGTTAGAACTGTCACCTTAAAGGGGTGTGAATATTTATACAATCACTTMTTTTACATTCCTTATTATGAACCCCACACATGAAGTGGGGGTCTTATTGTTTTCGTACTATTTATTTATTATTATTTTCAAAATTCTTGGTCAACCGTAGAACGGAAACGTTTGCATCGATCAAYGTGAAATTTGGTAGGAMTRTTGTCAATGTCAATGTTATATTTAGATRTGTCCAACCTACACTGCGCTAGCCAATGGTTTTACCATAGACCCCAGATTTGAGGAGGGGGCTCTATCTGAAAAGTGGGTGTCTTGACATACAAAAATGCTTGTACCTCTAAAACTGTTTAACATAGGAGCTTCAGATTTTWTGTTATTTATTYATTGTTCTTGTTGTTKTTTAGCTCTGATGAAGGACCATCCATCGGGCCCACAAATGAGCCCCCCACCCCCGGACCCCCACCACATCTGAAAAAGGGGTGTCTTGACATACAAAAATACTTATAACTCCAAAACTATTCAACATAGGCGATTCAGATTTTGTTGTTTAGCTTTGATGAAGGGCTATCCATTACCAC